CTTATTGCTAGACGCACAATCCAATTTGGAATGTATGAAAACAACTAAATCCATCAACTTTAGTGGAGTATTTTAATGATCTTTTTCTAAATGATCACTCCCACTGATTAAGATATTCTTTAGCCAAATTAATGATATAACACTCATAATTGATTTGACCAACTAAATAATGAAGATATAATTCTCCACCATTAGTTGGGCACACTAAATAATCAATATTTGGTTCCAATTATAGTCCAACTAAATGAATGATTAATGAGGACATGATTCTCCACCATAGTTGGATATACTAAAATAATAAAATACGCCTTCCAAACCCAAGTTGGAATTCGGCTCAGAAGATATATTTTATTATTGGAACCCAAAAGAAGTATATCATACCACGCAACTTACTATAGTTAACCCAAATAACCAAGTAAGCTTCGTGAAAAATAATTAATAAAAGGTGTATCTAAATTTTGGAAAGTGACTAAATACATGTTTTACCAATGCAAACCATGAAACTTAGAATTATAATTGAACTGAATTTATAAATTCTAAGAAATTGGGATAAAGTTATTATCTAATGGGTTGATGAATTTGTTGACATAAAACTTGTCTGTGGGCTAAAGTTTTAATTCTATTAAATTCAATTAACCACTTATGATAGTATTTTATCTCAATTACTAAATAGTCGGAAGAATCTAGTGACATAAAACTTGCCTGTGGGCTAAAATTTTACTCAATAAGATCCAACTGAAATTTTATGATGAAACAATTATCAAATGAGTTGAAGAATCAAGTGACATAAAACTTGTTGGGCTGAAGTTTTATTCAATTAGATTCATTACAGCCATTATGACAAAAAAACTTAAGAGATCATGTTCCTTATCTTAATCCCTGTGGGCAAATTAAGATATATAACCTAAAGTTTACATCATAAAATTAAGCTTCATGATAGAGATGAGAATTATTCGTAAAGTAAATAAAATTCTTTATTCATATCATCACTGATAAAACTACTAAACTACATTCCGATACATAATTGCCTGTGGGCTAAATTATGATCATAGTTCAGTATTTCATCCTAATTAATCATACAAATATAACGAAATTGCCTGTGGGCTAAATTCCATCATATTACATACAATTAATCACAATTGATATGTCTAAAACTTTATGTGACCCTAACAACTCAATATATAATTTTAACTGATTAAGGATGATGTGGCTACTCCCCAACTAATTAGAATTATAAGATCACTAGACATTTATCATTGCCATCTTTATGTGATTTGAACTTTAGACAATTTTTAGTAAATTAAAAATGCTGTGGCTACTCTTTAATTAATCTAGAAATTGTAATCACTTGGCAAAAGGGGAATTTAAAGCCTAACAAACAAATTAAACCAACACATGATAGACAATTATTAGGTATACTCCCAGGAAAGTTGGTCGAGACGAAGCTCGGTTAAATACCAACTCCTTAGACAGAGTAGCGTCGCAAGGGGACTAGTAACAACAAGGCTTTTAAGCCAGGGCCATAGAACTAGTATTCCTCCCCAAGAAACTTCCCTAAGTCATGTGTTCTCATGTTTGAAGTAAAACCATTTGGGAGATCTATAAGATTGTAGATTCACCTATGGATAAGGCTTTAAATTGATGAACTAAATTGACAGACTAAACGTGCATAAATTCAGGCACTACCGCAACTAAAGTTTTATGCATAGGTCCAACTTAATAAGGAACTAATATAATTCCATCCTAAAGTATGCATTTCTAAAGGCATAATAAAATTGCATAATTTAAATTAAAAAAAAAAAAAAAACAGAATATTATGCGGTGGACAAGTATGCATAAAATCAAACATTAAACTCATATATTCTAAATAAATTGCATAAACCAAAACAATTTTAAATATGAGCAATAACCTCAAAGTATACAATTAATATTCAAAACTAGTATGATTTCTAACCAAAAGAAATCCAAAATTTGAATAATAATATAATAGATGTATACTTTGAAAGGTTAAAAACTATAAGCCCACGTGGAAAAGTTTTAATTGCATAAAATCAACTTTGTGAGAAACAGGCTAAATTCACAAATATCAAGCCATAGTATATGTTTTATTCGTAAATAAAATCTCACAAATCTCAACTGCATAATTAAACTTAATATTATGCACTTAATGTGATTAAAAGCATAAAACAATTTAAAGAGTATGAAAAAACACTAAATCTGTATTCAATTATTCATACTTAACTAAATGTGGGCAATGACATCTAAAATCATAATTCAAATACTAAATAAATTGCCAAGAAAACATGTTTTTCCAAAATCTGAATTAATTAAAAAAATCACTCTCCAAAACTCAATTAATAATATTATTAATGGCAAAAAATCGCAAATAAACCAAAAAAGCAATAAATAGCCATAATAATAGTATTATGTTAATTTGGAGACTAAATATGAAAAAAACAATAGTTAAAACTGTTAAACTTTAAAACATTTTTGAATATAACTTTAAAATGTAATAAAACTTAAGTCCGAAAATAAATGTCACATAAATCAATTTGGAAACAATTCATGACTTAATACCATAAAAATAATGTTATCATTAATTAAAATATTAATAGTAATAAGGAGCATTTAATCACTATGAACATTTTAATAATGACAAACATGGTAATACATATCTTAATGTTTTCATATTTTTAAGGATAAAATGTGACTAGTTCAAAATGGTTAACAGCTATAACAGTAGTTATCAATAATAATAAACTGTAATTAATGATTTGCGTACCTTAATGATGCAAACTGCATCTATCAATAGCACTAACAGCGATAGCGAAGAAAAACCTTCAAAATCTCCCATCTTCACGGAGTGTTTAATTGAATCGCCCAATGGTACGCAACAGTTTATTGGTAAGAAAATGAAGTGACATGGGTAATCTTACCAATGTACCAAATATAGTAGATTACCATGAATTAATAATTATTATGAAAGATAATAAATGAGATTAGCCCCTAAACTTAATAACATTAATTAATAATAATTGCAATAAATGTAAAACTGTAATTAAGGGATGCTAAATATTAATCTCAATTTACCACATAATAATTAATCAAGACTGTAATGAGTCGGAGACTAAAATTAAGTTATAACCAAATTACCAATAATGTAAAGGCAACATAACTATGTACATTGCTTACCATTAAGAAAACAGAATATTATTGTTAAGGCCCCGAAAACTATTAATAGATTAAAAAACATAATTAACTTAAATAATAGTTATAATTCTTAATGGCCAAAACAATAATTATAAGTCTTAATGACTTCAAATGGTAATTGTAATCCTTAGATACTTAATGACTCAAAATCAGACAATGATAATAATTATAGCACAAAATTACTTAAGTCAGGCCCATAAACCTTAATGTCCCAAGTTAATTATAACATGAATGATAAATGCTCTAATATGGAAATAGATCCAAACATTATATTATAACCAACGATAAATACCGTTAACAAAATACGGTAGTTAGTAATAATTGAAACTAAATAAACATGTTATAATCAAAATAAAAAAAATGTGCTACAATTATTATTAAAATATCAATCAAATAATAGTAGGATCCATACTGACCAAGATAGGTCATAAATAGCCTGTTCAAAATAGGTTTTAAAGTCCCAAGTGAAAATTAGGACTAAAATATGCTCAAAATTAAATGAGAAACCAACAAACTAACTTAATAGGCTATATTGTCCAAAATTAGCCTAAGGATCCAAAATTGAATGATATTTAATATAAAATCTATGAGTTAATAATATGCTATATCCAACTTTAATAAATGCTTTTCTAAATGTACAATTATAATAAAATAATTTAAAAAATATACAAAGCAAGTTTGGATTTTGCAAATTAATATATTATTAACTCATAAATACTAAATAAATTGCAATAATTCAAGCAATTTTAATATGCACATCAATATTAAATTAAAATTCAAGTAACAAATTTAATACTTAATATTTGCTCAAAATTGAATAATAATTTAATTGTGAATATAATGCCAAAATTGAGAGAAAACTAGCTAAAAGACATTAATACAACTCTCAATATTAAATTAAAATTCAAATAGCAAATCAGAAATTAATATTTGCTCAAAAATGAATAATAATTTAATTGTGACAAGAATTACTATAATGGTAATAATTCAATCACAAATAATGCATAATTAATCTCAATTTGAAAATTTTAATGCTAAAATTTAAAAAAATATAACTAAAGGGCATTATTATTTCAAAATTAAGCAATTACCATGTAATTTACCACTTGCCAATAAAATAATATATAATTAATTAAGGTAATATAAAGATTTCAACTTTAAACCAAACATAAACACCATTTACCAAAATTAATATATATATTATTCAATTCAATGAGGCAATATTTATATGGTAAAAATAAATAATGGTAAATTGCAGAAAAAAAAAAAAAAAAAAAAAAAAGAAACGTTGCGTACCAGTCATCTCATTCCTCTTCCAAATAAATGCCGGAAAACCAGCGAAGGGGATGAAGCATCGGCCATCATCCAGCCGTCCGCCATCTTCAGATGAGGAGCAACAGCAGCCGTCTTCATCGCGGAGCCACCATCGCCGACGGCCTTACGGAGAGGAGAACGCGAAGGAGGAGAGGAAGCAGCAACGGTTCGCCGGAAAACCCAGCACAGCGCTAATAACCGCCGCCATGGCCGGAAATCCAGCCACGTCGCAGCCTACCGCTCCAGTCTTCTTCATCGCGATGAGGCCTCCGCCAACGCAGTCCTCATTCGCTGAGGGTCGCCGCCCGCCGCCGCGAATGGAGCAGCAGTGGCAGCCGAGAATTCAGCCAACCTCCGTGGACTCTCGTCATCGCAGCTAAAAGCTTGAGGAACAGCGAAAACCGACGCCGCCGTTGTCCACCATGGGCAACTCCCAGTCGCATCCTCAACAACGTCACACCGCGTTCTTCGCGTCGCTAGAGCGATGCTCCCTTCGTCGTTGTCCATGAATGCTCATAGTTGCCGCCCTCGTCAACAACGACCGGAATCAAAATCATCGGCGACAAATTCCACGCAGAAGGCTTTACTGAAAAGAAACCAAAAGAAAATGAAAAACAGCCCAGCAGTACATATTTCCCAAAAAATATACACTGTCATATGCTAGACAAACATGGAATTTCCTAAAATTGTTTTTCAGGAAACAAAAGAACAAATATATTTTTCAAAATATATATTTGGCACTAATTAATCAACCAGGCAGGAATTGATTGGGCTCTGATACCAAATGTTAGATAATAATATTAAGACTAACACAAACTGCAGTAAACGAGTAACCTGCCTCGTTACAGCGGAAGCTTTAGGATCGCCCAAATATCCCCAGCCATAGTCGTTAGTATTGTCACGAGATGGTAAACCTGCAGAATAAAGATTAGTGTCGTTTTGTCTACCACTTCTCTCCCGAATACGTGATGGTGCGTGTACTGAACTCGGGAGCTGTGGGAGGACTATTTTGCTTAGAAGCCTACATGCCATCAGTTAAAGCTTAACTGAATATCCTGAGTTGCATAAGAGATTAAGTCACTAATTGACTCAATCTCCTACTTGCACCACAGCCACCCAATAATACAATATATTATAATATATTGTGTTTAGGGAAAATACTTACACTTCAATCATTGTCATCAAAACTTACACTAGATTTGGGTAATACCTTAAAATTTTAATAGAACTATAACAGGGCATTAAAAATAAACTAGAGTAAAACTTGGGAGTCCTGGGTAACTGCGTGATAGAGTAACGAAGGCACCTTTGTAGTTGTAGTTCCCCAAGCCATCTTCATTATATTCATGATGGCGAAAATTTAAGCACCTTATTTGGGTTGATAGGAAAGAAGTCTAATCCACCATCTTCTTCTACTTCATATACTACATACGTTTCAATACTTAATTTCTTTTCCGCTTCTTCTTGTGTAACCCAAAAAAACTGTACAACCACCTCTACTTCTTCCCCTTCATTGGGTTCATATACTCTCCATTCCAACTCCATTTTACCATTCCAAGACCCTCTTCCTCTTCATCTTCCCTTGAACAACTTCACACACCAAGATTTACTGCTCAGAGTGCTACAACCTGTTATGTCCATTGTTTTTAAATTAACCAGATTCTCAACGCCTACAAGCTCAATCAATTTACAGCAGTTACCCAGATACAATACCTCTAGACTTAATAAGCTAGATAGATCTGGTACACTTCTCAACAAGGGGCAATTCTCTGCTGAGAATTCACTTAGGCTAAGTGGAAGATCTTTAATCACCTGAAGATTCAGACAGTTGTTCAAATCAAGATATTTTAGCTTGGAAAGATGACAAAGGGTAAAGGGCAGGGCATCGAAATCACTATAGCTTAGATCTAAAACTGTCAATAAGGATAAACTTTCATGACCAGTTTGAAGATCTAAATGTTGCACATACTGGTAAGGAGCACATAGATATTCCAAGGAACATAAATTAGTGTTTGACGATCTAATTTAGAATGTGTACATGCCAACAAGACTATATATAGAAGAGATTAGAAATGCTGCACAAGGCTTAAAACATTTAATCAATCGAGGAGAAAATGTAAGATACCTGCAAATTATTTACAAATAACATATTCCTATCAGATTATCATCATCATCAGCCCCAGTTTGAGTCCCATCTTTCTGAAGGCACTTGCAGAGAGCTATGTTTTGCAATTTGCTGCACACGACACATCAATTCCTGTGTCTTGTGGAATCCATCTAAAAGGATACAAATGTTGCAAGTTCCTTTAACTCAGCAGGAATATTTGACAATTATAAGCACTAGAAAACCAAATGACTTTGTATATGTGTATGATATGTGAACTGTTGTAATATAACATGCAAAAAAAGAATATTTCAGGGCAAGCTCATCATATCACTCAAATTGTCAAATACCAAATATCATTATATCAACTTCTAAAGTCCACTGTCCACACAAGCAGCAAGTGACAAATGACAATTCAATAAATTCAAATTCAGAGGCTCATTCTTAGCCTGAGAATATTCACAAATCAACTTCACCAACAATTGACAAATCAATGAACTCAATTCACAGACTCCTTAACCCTTTTGATATGATTATCTGAACAAGCAGGTGATTGCCTACCACTGTTTCCCTTGTGCCCCCCGGCCCCAGCCAATCGTGTGTCAGAAAAAGCGGCCAACACATCCAGATAAAGGCTTCGAACTCCCTTCTTCTTCTTCTTCTTAATATCGCCTATTACGCTGCATTTCCATTTTTGAATCAGATGTTGGAGAGCTAATTGTGAGTGTTATATTAACCCTTGGATATACATCTCTCTGGGTGTGTGCAGAATCATCGTCAGGGCGGAATATGATGACCTTATTTGGGTTCACAGGAAAGAAGCAAACCTCACCCTCTTTTTCATAAACTATACATGTTTCAATTCTCAAATTCTCTTCAGCTCCTTGCTCCAGCGATGAATAAAACTCTACAACCACCTTTACTTCTTCCACTTTATTGGCTTCTATAAAATGATCATATACTCTCCACTCCAACACCTTATTCCTTCTTGTGTGGACCACCTGCTCAAATAACTCCTCTGTGGTTTTGTATGTTAAATAACACACACAACTAAACAAACATGAAATCCTCACGACTATAAGTATCCGTGTCTTCGACGAAAACAATGGCAATGTGTAATTTGATGATGAACATCCAACTACTACTTCTGGCACCATGTCTTCTAAAACCAACATTCTAAACCCGTGAAGGTTTGGGTTTTGTAAAAATGCCTGCGTGCGTATATATATTAAGAAATTAATTAATTAATAAATGCATGAGAAGCATTAGATAGATCACTAACCTTGAACAACTTCGCACCACAAGAATTACTTGCAAGAGCGCTACAATATAACATGCTGATTGAACGTAAATTAACACAATTCTCTATGCCTTGAATTTCAATCAAATTACTGCAGTTATGAATCCGCAAATGCATTAAACTTGAGTAAGGCAGATCTTGAATCACTCGAAGGTTCTGGCAGTTATACAAACAGAGACTTCTTAGTTGAGAAAGATGAGAAAGTTTAAAGGGCAGGGTATCCAAGTAACTATCACACAGATCTAAACGACAGAGCTTTTCAAAACTGCATCGAGGCTCAATAATCAAACTTTTGTAGATAGAAAGAGACAACCGATATAGCCCTGATACATCTTGTATATTCTCCAGCAAGGGACAACGGTATGCAACGAGCCGACCTAGGTTAGGTGGAAGATCTTTAATCAGTTGAAGGTTCTGACACTTGTTCAAAACCAAATCTTTTAGCTGAGAAAGATGAGAAAGGTTGAAGGGAATGGTAGTGAAGTAACTATTGCTTAGATCTAGAAATGTCAATAATGATAGACTCCCCATTTGAAGATCTAAATGTTGCATAAACTGGTAAGGAGCCTGTAGAGTTTCCAAGGAACATAAATTAGCATATGAAGAAATAGGTTCCACACTCCTATAATCATACCCATCTGTATAATTGGACTGCCCTAGTGTCAGATAGTAGAGATATCTCAAAGATCCACAAGAAAAAGGCACATGTGATACCGAAGTCCATTTAGCATTAAGTACACGTAGTTGCTCTAATTTTCCCAAGTTAGTAGGCAATTTTTTAATCTTGGAGCAAAATTCCAGATCAAGACACTTAAGCGACTTCAAGTTGCAAATACTATTGGGGAGCGCTCTAAGATTCTCGCAAAATCTCATATCTAACTCAACAAGGCTTTCTAAATCTCCAATGGATTGTGACAATTCAACCAATTTTGGACAATTAAAGAAGGACAATGTCTTTAGATTGTGTGCTCCAGTAAAATTTGGGGACCCTTTAAGTTGCTAGCAAAAAACAAACCTTAAGATCTCCAAGCATCCAAAATGCTGTTGAAACAAAATATAAAAAATTGTAGTAAGCTTTTCCCAATCATTATTTTGTCTAAATAAATTATAATTAACTTTTTAAAAAAGATGTAATGTCAAAAAAAAATCTCATATAAACTTCAAACCTGCAAATTGGGTTTAAATTCCTTAATATTGCTGTCTGTTATTTCTAAAATAACAAGCTTCTTCAGGCAAAGATCAGACGATATGTGTCTCAATGGACAATGATTCCAAAAAAGCAACCTAAGCTCATTAGATAAGTATTTTAATGATCCCTTGGCATTCATGGATTCGATTCTGAGCAATCTTAACCTGCTCATTTTAGAGAATACTTTAGTACTCAAATGCACTTCCTTTGGCAAATCAATAATCATTGTTTCAATATCTTCATTGCCCTAATAAATAAAAAAAAAAAAATCATAGCTTTAAAACATTCCTATGTGACACAACTCACACAAGTATAATCAAAATATAAAACATAAATTATTGAAAAAGTACAAAATGTAATTACTAAGCAAACGATTTGAAAAACATACATATATACCAAAATAATAAAGCAAATCAAGTGTGTTTTAATTTACCTTGTTGTTCACGAGCACATCCAAAACCTCATCGCATAAAAACAATCTACTTCTTTTCTCAGACACCATAAGAGATTCTTGGCGAACAATTTCTCTTCCCATATCTCGAACTAAATCATGCATATAATAATCTTTTTCCCTTAACAAGCATCTATTAATTAAAGTTGCAATTCCACTTTGAGCAAAGAAACCACAAGCATTCAATATCATAACGATCTCTTCTTTGTGGATATATCCACCCTCAAAAAAACAAGCAATATCAAGGAAGATTCTTTGAGTATCATCATCAAGTGCATCATAACTCATTTTGAGAATATTCAAAATATCTTCATGAGGAATCTTTCTTAACTTCTCAAAGTCAGCTCTCCAGTGTTGAATTGATGATCTGGACCGAAAATGTGAGCCTAGAACAGTAAGTGCCAAAGGAAGTCCACCAGCATAACTTACTATCACGTTTGATAGTTCTGCAAAAGCCTCCAAAGGATTTGGGTCCTTAAAAGCATGCCAACAAAAGAGTTGCAAAGATTCCTTAGAACTTAACACCACAACATTGTACTTCTCACAATCTTTTCCGAGGCCATTCAACAAATTAACGTTTCTAGTTGTAATGAGAATTGTACTACCTGAACCAAACCAATCTCCATCCCCAACTAATGCCTCTAATTGACTCTCATGTTCTACACCATCAACAACAATGAGAACCTTTTTTAATCCAAGTCTTAATTTGATCAAACTAATTCCTTCATCAACATGGTTAACTTCAAATCTCATTGTTTTGAGAGTTTTACAAAGAAGCTGTTCTTGCAAACATTTTAAACCTACACTCTCTCCCTTTGAACATTCTGATCTAACATCAAGAAAGCAACTACCTTCAAATGTTTCATAAATTTGGTTAAATATGGCTTTTGCTAAGGTTGTTTTTCCTATCATACAAACATCACCATTTGATTTACTTTGCAATGAAGAAAATATTTCTCTAACCCGGGTATGAATTCCAACAGGATATTTTGCAACATTAAAAAATGTACGGTTCACCACATGTAGAACCTTTTCTACAATTTTGTCAATAAATTTTGATTCATACCTGCAAATTTTTGTTGAGTAAATTACTGACATGTGAATTGTATCATATAAGGGGAATATAATGGAAGAAGACTGCAACCAGAAAATATAACAAAAAGTATTTAATAATTTGTTTTTAAAATAAAAGGGAGAAATCAAGATACCCGTCAACATCATTCTGTAAATCCCAACCACAAAAATTTGCAACCTTAGTCAAAGCTGTTTTCCATTGACTAAGTTTTTTGGTCCCAAATTGTTGTTGATGTTGAGCTAAGGCGTCACCAAACCCACCAGTTTGTTTGCGCACTTCAGATGGATCCACATCATAAAATACAGGAAAAACCACTTGATTTACCTTTTCTTTACATTCCACTATCTTCACAAGCTCCTCAAGACACCACCGGGAAGAGGCATAAGTTTTGGAAAACACGATAATGGAAATCTTTGATTCTTGAATAGCTTTGATGAGGTCAGTGGAGATGTCTTCTCCTTTACGGAGCTCTTCTGCATCTCTGAAAGTGTGAACTCCGGCTCGGCACAACGCAGCAAAGAGGTGATCTGTAAAAGACTTTCGTGTGTCTTCACCTCTAAAACTCAGAAAGACATCATAGTCCCAACAGCGCGGAAGTGAAGAGGAGGATGAGGGAAGGAGCAGTAGTTGATTAGTTTCAGAAGTGGATTCCATGGTGGAAACACCTGCCGGTAAAAACACAATAAAGCTAAGGAAGGTAGGAAGGATGGATGGAGATTAAAGCTTAACTTAGGTTACTACTGCGTCTGCTGCTTCTAATTCATGTGGAGGCATTTATATATACATCTTCTGATCTCTAAGAAATGGAAATTGCTATGAATTTTCTTGCATCCATCCATCTTTAATAAAGATGTAGGCCGGGCAGAGCATAATTAAATAAAACAATAATAGAGTTTTGTGGGTGTTAGAGTGGCCCCGGTCTTTGGTTTGACAAAACGAAGCAATTGTAAGTTGGAAAGAGAATATAATGGAAATTTATATACATGTTGCTTTCGTTTTAGGAGATAATTATGAAGATAAAGTCACCCCAGAAAATAGGAACTTCAAATGCAGAAATTACAACAGTTTGTGTGCCTTTCATGCTAAATACGGAGTATTAAATTGTCTAATGCAGAAATACTATTTGCTTCTAAACTTTCGTGCTAAGACTACAGTTTTTGTTTTTATTTTTGTTCTTCACCCCCTGTTTTCCACTATTAGGTTTATACAAATATTGAAGGCAACATATCTCATGTAGTACATATGGCATGGGCTATGCTGTCTTAATTTTTATTTATATGCTGTCAATATACACACACATGGCAGACTATTGAAGACTATTGTCTATTGATATTTTAAAAAAATAATAATAATAATAATTAAAATAATTTTTTTATATATAATTTGACATTGTATGAGAGCTATCCTACATACACCATTTTCACAAATGTAGACAGAAAATTACACCCCAAAAACCAGACCATCTCCTACTGCATTTACATCCACACCCTTCATCTCTCTTCTTCTCATCTCTTAAGAAACCATATTGAATCTCTCTGCCAAACCATATGGTTCAAATACAAAATACATTATAAATTACAATACAATGTTTATGTTGAACTATGAAATTCTCAAAAGTAGATTTTCTTTTAAAGAATTTCTCCATCACTGAACCAAATAAATGTATTTATAGCATTAATCAGTCATGACGCAAATAAATTTCAGAAGCAAGCATAAGATAATTTCACTATAAGGCTTTAATCCTTTAACCAGAGCAAACTGAAGACTACAGATAAAAGCATCTCTATTACTCTATACACAAAGTTCAGCTGTGTAAGTTCATCAATACATGATGCATAGATTTACACACAGAAAAACAAAATAGCTAGCAAATATGAAGTTGTTTGTTATCTTATTCTTTGCAGAGTATTAGGACATAACCCACACATATAACGTGTATGTGCCTTGTGTTATGAAATTCTATACTTATGAATATGAATTATGTACCTCGATCCAGGGTTCATAATGGTATGTAGACCTGGACCTGGTCCATGATATAAATTACCTGAAGTTGAGTGGCGGCCTGAGCTGAGCTTTGGAAGCGGCGTTGGATTGCAAAGATTGTTGAGGGACAAAGCCTAAAGAGTTACTCAAGGTTAGGTTGTGAAGAGCGAGCTGAGCTAACGGCGTGTTAGAATAACCTCGACATTGTTGCGGTCTCGGATGGCCGGGACACTTCCCCAGCGTTGAGGGACAAAGCCAAAAGTACGGGGTTGGAATTTGAGCACCTTGTTTGGGTTGATAGGAAAGAAGCATACCTCACCCTCTTCTTCATATACTATACACGTCTCAAGACTTGAGTTCTCTTCAGCATCTTTTTCTGTAACTGTAAGCGGACAAAACTCTATAAACACCTCTCCTTCTTCCACTTTATTGGGTAGCTCATAGACACAGCATCCCAATTCCTTAGAACCATACACTATTCCATATCGGCTTCCATTCGTCTCTTGTTGGTATAAAATCCAAGGGTCAAGCAAACATGAAACCATCACAACGATAAATATCCATTTATTCTTCGATGAACGTCCTTCAACTCCAACTCCATCTACTTGCTTGCTCCTCCGCCAGTATTGTGGAACCATATCTTTTGAAACACGCATTCTAACCCATCCAGTAAGGGTTGGCCTTTTAAAAAGTGCCTGCAGCATAGCAGCAACGTTGTTTATATTATACGGAGTATTAAATTTTATTAAAAGCAGCAGGCAGTTTCAGAGACAGAGATAACTGTACTAACCTTGAACAAGTTGTCACACCAATATTTACTGCTCAGAGCGCTACACCCTCTTATGTTCATATCTTTTAAATTAACCAGATTCTCAACGCCTACAACCTCATTCAAATTACTACACCCGCCAAGATACAATTCCTCTAGCCTTAATAACCCAGATACATCTTGTATACTTTTCAACAAGGGACAATTATGTACTGAGAAACTATATAGGCTAAGTGGAAGATCATTGTCTTTAATCACCGAAAGGTTGGGACAGTTGCCCAAATGAAGGCCTTGTAGATTGGAAAGATGAGAAAGGTTAAAGGGCAGGGTATCAAAGTCACTATAGCTTAGATCTAACCATGTCAATAAGGATAATCTCTCATCACCAATTTTAAGATCTAAATGTTGCATGTACTGGTAAGGAGCACTTAGCATTTCCAAGGAACATAATAAATTAGTGTTTGGAAATTCCAAATGCCCAATACATCTCTCATTATAATGCCCACCAACAGCGAAATGGTGCGGCCCTAGTATCAGACACTTGAGATGTCTCAAAGATCCACAAGAAGTGGGTAGATGTGTCACGGACGTCATACTTGCATCAAGGAAATTTAGCAACTTCAATTTTCCCAAGTCAATAGGCAATTCTTTTATCTTCAAACAATTTCCCAAAATAAGATGCGTAAGAGACTTCAAGTTGCAAATGCTACTAGGAAGCGCATTGAGATCCTTGCAATTACTCAAATTTAACTTGACAAGATTTTCTAAATCTCCAATTGATTGGGGCAATTCTTTTATCTTTAAACACCCACGCAGAACAAAATCCTTAAGAGACTTCAAGTTGCAAATGCTATCAGGAAGCCCATTGAGATCCTCGCAATTACTCAAATTTAACTCAACAAGGTTTTCTAAATCTCCAATTGATTGCGGCAATTCTTTTATCTTCGAACACCATTTCAGAGCAAGACGCTTAAGAGACTTCAAGTTGCAAATGCTATCAGGAAGCCCATTGAGATCCTTGCAATTACTCAAATTTAACTCAACAAGATTTTCTAAATCTCCAATTGATTGCGGCAATTCTTTTATCTTGGAACAACTTTCCAAATTAAGATACTGATGAAGAGACTTCAAATTGCAAATGCTATCAGGAAGCCCATTGAGATCCTCGCAATTACTCAAATATAACCCAACAAGGTTTTCTAAATCTCCAATTGATTGCGGCAATTCTTTTATCTTGGAACACCATTTCAGATCAAGATGCGTAAGAGACTTCAAGTTGCAAATGCTACTAGGAAGCGCATTGAGATCCTTGCAATTACTCAAATTTAACTCAACAAGATTTTCTAAATCTCCAATTGATTGCGGCAGTTCTTTTATCTTGGAACACCCATGCAGAACAAAATCCTTAAGAGACTTCAAGTTGCAAATGCTATCAGGAAGCCCATTGAGATCCTCGCAATTACTCAAAGATAACTCAACAAGGTTTTCTAAATCTCCAATTGATTGCGGCAATTCTTTTACCTTGGAACAACTTTCCAAATTAAGACGTGTAAGAGACTTCAAGTTGCAAATGCTACAAGGAAGCACATTGAGATTCTTGCAATTACTCAAATATAACGCAACAAGGTTTTCTAAATCTCCAATTGATTGCGGCAATTCTTTTATCTTAGAACACCCTTGCAGAACAAGAAGCTTAAGAGACTTCAAGTTGCAAATGCTACTACGAAGGGCATTGAGATTCTTGCAGCCCTTCAAATATAAGGAATTAAGATTTTTTAAGTCTCCTATTGATTTCGGCAATTTAACCAACTTTGAACAACCATCAATGTATAACTCCTTTAGACTATGTGCTCCAACAAAGTTTGGAGCTCTTTTAAGTTTCTTGCAAGATTCCAACCATAAACTCTGCAAGCACCTAAAATTCTGTAGAGAACAAAATATAAAAGAACAGCGGTTAGCTTTTCTTTATATTTCAATCTAATCAAATTATAATGCATTTTTAAAAATTATACGTCAAAAGAAATATTATATAATAAACATCAAAACAAATATTATATAATAAACATCAAACCTGCAATTTGGGTTGAAATTCTTTAATATTGCTCTCTTGTATTTTTAAGATAACCAGTTTTTCCAAGCAAAGATCGGATGATATGCGACTCAACAGGCAACCATGCCAATAAAGAAATCTAAGCTCCTTGGACAAGTATTTCAAAGATCCCTTGACATTCACGTCTAAGATTTTGAGTGCTCTTAACTTAGTCATTTTTGAGAATACCTTGGAACTCAAAGGCACTTCGTTTGACAATTTTATGATCATTGTTTCAATTGCGTCTGTGCCCTGTAAAAGAAAATTTTCACTGCATTAAAACATTCCTAACGACTGACACAATTACACAAATATAATGAAAATATAAAAAGTAAATAACAGATGAATTATTGATCAAAAAGTATAAAATGCAATTAACTAAGCAAGTGATTTAATAAAACAAACAAAACAATACAGCAAATCAAGTACAAACAAGCATTTTACCTTGTTGTTTGTGAGAACATCCGAAACTTCATCAGCCAAAAATAATCTACTTCTTTTTTCAGGCTGCATAGGAGATTCCTTGCGAACAATTTCTCTTCCCATATCTCGAACTAAATCATGCATACTAAGACTTTTTTCTAACAAGCATCTACCAATTAAAGTTCGAATTCCACTTTGAGCATAGAAACCACAACCATTCAATATCTCAATAATATATCCTTTCTCATGGGTGAAAAAACAAGCAATATCAAGGAAAATTCTTTGAGTATCATCATCAAGTGCATCATAACTAATTTTGAGAATATTCAAAATATCATTATGAGGAATCCTTCTTAACTTCTCAAAGTCATCTATCCATTCTTGAATTGATGATCTTGTCAAAAAATGTGAGCCTAGAGTGGTAAGTGCCAAAGGGAGTCCACTAACATAACTTACTATCATGTTTGATAGTTCCATAAAAGCCTCCTCGGGACTTGGCTTCTTAAAAGCATGCCAACTAAAGAGTTGCAAAGATTCCTCCAGACTTAAGACTTCAACATTATATTTCTCACAATCTCTTCTAAGGCCATTTAAAAAATCAACATTTCTAGTTGTGATGATAATTCTACTACCTGGACCAAACCAATCTCGTTCTCCAACCAATGCGTCTAATTGACTCTTATCCTCTACATCATCAACAACAATGAAAACTTTTTTCAGTCCAAGTCTTCTTTTGATCAAACTAATTCCTTGATCAACATGATCAACTTTCAATCTCTTTCCATTGAGAGTTTCACAAAGAAGCTTCTCTTGCAAATGTTGTAATCCTACACACCCTCTATCTACACATTCTTGTCTAACATCTCCAAGAAAGCAACTACCATCAAATGATCTATAAATTTGGTTAAATACAGCTTTTGCTAGGGTTGTTTTTCCTACCCCGCCCATGCCATAAATCCCAATCATACGAACATCACCATCTGCTTCACTTTTTAATAAAGAAAGTACTTCTTTAACACGAGCATGAATTCCAACTAGATATTTTGGAACATCAAAGTATGTAGGGTTCACTACTTGCAGAACATTTTCTACAATATTGTCAATAAATGTTGATTCATACCTGTAAATTTTAGTTGAGTAAATTATTGGCTGGTCAAAGAATCACGTGAATGAGAGGAATAAAGGACAAGGAAAACAAGAAAAAAGAGTAACAAAAAGTATGCAGTAAATTTTTTTAAAGGGGAGAAATCAGAGGTACCCGTCAGCAATGTTTTGTAAGTCCCATCCAGAAAATTTTGCAACCTTAGTTAATGTTGTTCTCCATTGGCTAACTTTTTCCGTCCTGAATCGATTTTGATGTAGAGCCAATGCAACACCAAACTCACCTGTTTGATTGCGAACCTCAGAAGGATCCACATCATAGAACACTGGAAAAACCACCTGATTTGCCTTTTCTTTACATTCCACTATCTTCACAACCTCCTCAAGACACCAGCGAGAGGAAGCAAAAGTTTTGGAGAACACGATGATAGAAACCATCGATTCTTGAATAGCACTAAAGAGGTCAGTGGAGATGTCCTCTCCTTTGCGGAGCTCTTCTGCATCTCTGAAAGTGTGAACTCCAGCCCGGCACAGTGCCGCAAAGAGATGATCCGCAAAGGATTTTCGTGTGTCTTCACCTCTAAAGCTCAAAAAGACATCGTAATTCTTGCGCGGAAGTGAAGAGGAAGAAGAGGGAAGGATGAGTTGATTAGTTTGGGAAGTGGATTCCATGATGGTTATGAAAACTGTAGAGGTTGCTTAGTGTATGATTAGTAGTGCGTCTGATCTAGTGTAAGAAATATTGGAAATTGGTATAAAGTTTAATTTAATTTGTTGCATATTTCTTGGATATTATAGCAGGTAGCCAGGTAGATGTCCGGTATTGGTTTGTGTGTATATGTAAATTGCTCTGAACCTACTTGAAATTGTGTCACATAAGAAAGGGCCCCAATTGGAAGACCAACTTTAATGTCTTTTGATTAAGAAAATTAAATACAGAAAGCGAAGAAGAAATGATGGTGTTTCCCACTTTCCCATAATAATCTACAAATTGGTAAGAAGTTGCGGTGTGAATGCATAGACTTGAAAAAGCATATGTAAATAAATACGACTTAATACCCAATATAATTTTTGACTATATTGATTTTATTCAATTTAATCTTTTGTTAAAAATTCTGTTAGTTGACGATTAGAAATAAGGTCTTAATGATAATTTCTTATCTTTCATCTCATTTTGGGTGATTCCTTCTTCTCCCCCTTATTAAGATCCACGTAGAAATGTAAATATTCGTACCCAAATCAACGTCAACCCTAAATAAATAAATACAAAGTAAATGAATATTTGGGTACGAAAATTTACATTTATGTGTGGATCTTAATAAAGGAAAGAAGAAGGAATCATCCCAAAATGAGATGAAGAATGAAAAATTACATTTGGGACCATATTTTTAACAGTCAACTAATAGAATTTTAACAAAGGACTAAATTGTGTAAAACCGTCAAAGTCGATGACTAAATTAAACATAAAAAATTATTTAAGACTAAATTGAGTAAAACCACTATAATCAAGAACTATATTAGTATTAACTCAAATAAATACCGCTAAACTATTCAACACCTTTGATATGATGGAAAAGCAACATATTTTTTTGTACTTCATACTTAACAATAAATAACCATACACTTACTCGTACAAAACTATGACAGGGCATTAAACATAAACAGCACGTTTGGTTCACGGAATGAATTTTGAGGTAATAGGAATGTTATTCCATAAGGAATGGAATAGGCAAGGAATAGAATAGAAATTGTATTCTATTGTTTGGTTCGCGGAAGGAATAGACTTTATGAATTATATTACTGTGTTTGGTTGATTTAAGAAATAGAAATGAAATATGTTTTAAAAGACATAAATACCCTTATAAAAATATGTGATGGTGGTGGTGGTGGTGGCGATGGTGGTGGAGGTGGTGGTGATGGTGGTGGTGGCGGTGGTGGTGGTGGTGGTGCTGCTGGGGTGGTAGTGGTGGTGGCAGTGGTGGGGGCGACGATGGTGGTGGTGACGGTGATGGTTGTGGCAGTGGTGGTGGGGGCGGCGACGGTTGTGGCGGTGGTGGTGGGGGCGGCGACGGTGGTGGCGGCGGCGGCGATGATGGTGGTGGCAGTGGTGGTGATGGTGGTGGTGCTGGGGTGGTAGTGGCGGTGGCAGTGGTGGGGTCGGCGGTGGTGGTGGGGGCAGCGACGGTTGTGGCGATGGTGGTGGTGGCGGCGGCGGCGGCGATGGTGATGGCAGTGGTGGTGATGGCGGTGGTGCTGAGGTGGTAGTGGTGGTGGCGGCGGTGGCAGTGGTGGGGTCGGCGGCGGTGGTGGGGGCAGCGACGGTTGTGGCGATGGTGGTGGTGGTGGCGACGGCGGCGATGGTGGTGGTGGTGGTGGCGGCGACGGCGGCGGCGGTGATAGTGGTGGTGGCGACGACGATTGTGAAATAGGATAAATTTATATATAGAATAAAACAATTAGGTTAAAGAAAGGGGTAAAAAAGAAAATAGATTCTAAAATCTATTCCAGAGCGTTCAGTAATAGGTTAATACCAGGGGGCCCTAGTAATAGCTATTACCTTATTTGAGGTAATAGGCTATTACCAGGAATATTATTCTTGGTAATATAAATGGTTACCAAACAAAGGAATAGGCCTATTACTGGGAATGTTATGCCATTCCCGGCCTATTCCGTGAATCAAAAGGGCCAAAAGTAGATGCTTCAAAGTTAAATATGGGTTTGGTACGGTAATTCTTCTGAGGCACAAGGAAGTTGTCACATCTTTTTCATTCTAATTCCAAAAACAATTCCTAATAATATTTTTCTAAATAGAAGACTAATTCTTTATTGAGAAGCCCAATCTTTCTATTTCTAATAATTCTAGCCTTATAATTATTCTTGGCACAATTCTTCTATTTAAAAATATTTTAGCCTAGTAATTCCTTTGAGCCCAAATATTTCTAAGTCCTATTTATATATATTGGATCCTAGATGTGGACTTCACTATATAAATAATCCTTGTATAGAATATATTCAATTTCCCAAGCCCAAGCCCACACAAATATTATTGTATCTGTATAAAACCCACCCACTTAATAAACGCAAATTATGCTGTGCAACCGAATGCACCTTGCAAGGTGCATACGGTTGCAAAACGGCGCCGTTTTGGTTAAAAAACGCGCGTCCCACTTAAAGAAGAAATCAGGTTCGATTCCCGGCAATAGCATTTTTATATATCCACAATTTCATAACTATATATCCACAATTTCATAACTATATATCCACAGTGAATGAATGAAGTAAAAATCCACAATGAATGAATGAATGAAGTAAAAATCCACAATGAATGAATGAATGAAGTAAAAATCCACAATGAATGAACTAAATATCCACAATATATGATTGAACTAAATATCCACAATGAATGAACTAAATATCCATAATTTCATAACTATATAACCACAATTTCATAACTATATATCCATAATTTCATAACTATATATCCACAGTGAATGAATGAAGTAAAAATCCACAATGAATGAATGAATGAAGTAAAAATCCACAATGAATGAATGAATGAAGTAAAAATCCACAATGAATGAACTAAATATCAACAATATATGATTGAACTAAATATCCACAATGAATGAACTAAATATCCATAATTTCATAACTATATAACCACAATTTCATAACTATATATCCACAATTTCATAACTATATATCCACAATAATGCTATTACTGAGAGTCGAACCTGATTTTTTTTTTTTAAGTGGGACGCGCGTTTTTAATCAAAACGACGTCGTTTTGAACCGTATGCACCATGCGCATGGTACATTCGGTTGCACAGCATAACTATTGCTTAATAAAGCTCATAACCTTATTCTTGTAACCCTTGCACTATATACATATGAATACAGATACATATCATCCATTATCCACAAGACAAACCCTAGACATTGTTCTAACACACTCTCTCTCTCTCTCTCCATTTCTCTCCTTCTCGCCGCTCTCTTCTCCCAAACACACAAATATTATCTTCCATCTTCCTATTCAAGAATCCAAGACCAAGACTTCATCTTTTTTTCATTCAAAGACTAGAAGTGGTAAGATCTTAATTCCTACATTGTTTTCCTTCTCTATTCCTTCACTTTTTCTAAATCTTTATCTTATT